GTGGAATTAGAATTAAATAACTACAAACCACCAGTTATTTTACCCCTACGCGGGTAGCTAACTTCGTAAGACCAAACCTTATTTGATTTCAAGTAATTTCTATGTTATAAAATAAGTTCTCTGAATCTGTTCACAGCAGGTGAAAATTCTAAACCTTTTTAACCCCATTTCACTCAAAAAATCTGCCCCGAACAAGTGCACCGGCTACTCAATTCCGACAGTGGCTTTTGCAACTATTTTACAAGGCCAGTTTATCGAGGAGTGGATTAAGAAAAAGGCGCCGGTATACAGGTATCCAAAGTAAACCAGAGAAGAAGGTGGTGATGTATACTTACTGGAACTTTCGCTTACCATAGAACTGCAGCGTACTTCAAGCTAAAATATGACAAAATTCTCAGATAGTTAAGCCATGAAATTGTTAGTTAGATTCTTCATAAAATCATCGTGAACATACTAATTGAACACAGCGGGGTTGATATGGGTATCGAGCACAGGTCATATACTCGTACATGAACTGCGCAGGAGTGAAACAACCAGATTTGTCGTTAATATATCTCACTACGTAGGTATACGGTTTTGCCTGACTCAAAACAGGCTTCATCGAACTGGCAAAAAAGCCTCGGTTGACGGTGGATTGTTCAGCGAACGCATTTGTTTGCAATTCTTCTTATTTCGGCTGGACGAAATAATCATTACTTATCTTTTCTAAGGCGAACAGGTGCCAGTAGAATACACTTTTTGGTAAATGACTGTTGCCGCTGTTTGATTATCTGTCGCTCTTTATCTAGACAAGGATTCACGGTTTCCATCGCTTTGTAAGACAGGCTTCTCTACTAGGAGAGTGTCATCAACAGCTAGCGAACAAGACCTTTTTCACAGTTTTTCTCGCTAACCGAATTGTTCATTTTAAAAAGGGACTTAGTGTGTCCCTATTTTCGATTTATGCCGATGAGGGCAGCCATGAATCCATTGCCTATTCAGTCTGAGTTTTCGCGAGCATACTTCCTCAGCTGCGAGGTCTTTCAAAATATATTTAGCTCATTCCGACTAAAAGAATTTTTTTTGGAAATAAGTTTTGATTTGTATGCACAATACGAGGCCAGCTTTATTTAGGCTTTGGACTTTTAGCATGCATAAAATTTTTCTCAAAAGTAGAAAGTTCATAGCTCTGATTTTACTTTTCTCGCGAGGAATTCAGAAATTAGTGTAAAATAATTTGCATTTTGCTTTCAATATGTTTTATATATTTTTATGTATGCATATGAAAAATATAATAAAATATAAAATATGTTTATTCTCCTTCTTTATTGGCCCTGTAACCGCCTAAGGGATTTGGCCGACACCAATTGAATATGCCAAGTGAATCCAAGTTCTTCTAAACCTGGTCTTTCCAACGCATAGGAGGCCTTCCTCTGTTACCAGCGTCGGGACCCCGGTTGAATACTTTCATAGCTGGAGCGTTTCTATGCACTCGAACAAGATGCCGTAGCCAGCGGAGCTGCTGAATTTTAATTCGCTGCACTATGTGCATATATATCGTTGTAAAGCTCATACAGCTCGTCTGCGGTATTCGCCATCGCCTACGCGCAAACCACGTAAATCTTTCGCAGAATCTTTCTCTTGAAAGCTCCAAATGCCGCTCCATTGGATGTTTTCATTTTTCATGCCTCCGCACCCTTCACCAGCACAGGTAAGATGAGTGACTTATAGAGTGGGATTTTTGTATGACGTGAGGGGACTTTACTTACCAATTGCCAACTCAGCCCAAAGTAGCCGTTGTTGGCAAAAGTGATTCTCCGTTAGATTTCAAGGCTGACATTATTATTGGTTTTAATGCTGGTTACTGAATAAACGAAGTCTCCAACTTTTTCAAAATTCTACCTTTTCAAACCGTCAACAGTGACGTGGGTGCCTAGACGCGTATGCTCCGACTGTTTGTGTGATGACAGGAGACACTTCTTTTTGCCCTTGTTCACCACCAGACCCAGATGCCACCCTTTTTTACCGATAATGTCGATGTCGTCATCGTACGTCAGCAATTGTACGCCCTTGTAACGTATTGTTTCTGAGCAGTTCAGTTCTGCGGGAAGATAACTTCCCCAACATCAGATTCTGAAACCCTGTTTGGTATCAAACGGGTCGGAGAGGTCCTTCCAATTCTGACGTAGCTGGTGATATTGCTCAACGTCGTTTTACGCAGCCGTATCAGTTTCGTGGGGATACCAAATTCAGACATCGCGGCATAAAAGCAACTTCTCTTCGTGCTGTCGAAAGCAGTTTCGAAGTCGACAAATAGATGGTGCGTATCGATCCTACTCTCGCGGGTCTTTTCCAGTATTTGGCTTATTGTGAATACTTTGTCGATGGTGGATTTGCCAGGTCTAAAGCCACACTGATAAGGTCCAATCAGTTCGTTGACGGTTGTCTTCAATCTTTCACACAACACCCTCGATAGGGCCTTGTAATCTATATTTTGAAGGCTGAGTCTGCGGTAGTTGTCGTGTTTGGTAGGTTTGCAGCTCCAGCAGCATGTTTTTTTCCAGCCGCGTAATCGCTATTCGTACCTCGTCATATTTAGTGAGGCGGTGGGACATCGTCATCGACTGGGGGTTGGGTTCATCTCCATTACTATCAATACTGCTGCCATTCAATAGGGTGGAAAAATGTTCTCTCCGTAATTTAAATAGGTTCGGCACATCAGTCCCTAGGTCACCCCAGTTCTTCTTATAGGAGTAACTGAAACATTTCACCATAGGGCTTTCCTTGCTTTGTTGGGCGCACATAATTTGCTGCACGGAGGCGGTTGCGCAACTTGGCAAGGTAATGGTCCAAGTCGACGTTTGGCCTTCGCAGTGTACGTATATCTAAAACACTGTTATAATGCCTTCCACTCTATCACAAAATTTTGTGTTATCGTTTTTCGATCTGGAGACACCCATGTAACTTGGTGGATCGTTTTATGCTCGCACCTAGTACTACATATTACCATGTTTCGGGCCCCGGCCAAGTCGATCAGCCTCAGTCCGTTATCGTACGTTTCGTCGTGGAGGATTAAGTTTCCGACAGTGGCGCCAAAGATGACTTCCTTGCCCACCTTGGCACAATTTTGTTATCGTGTCGGAGGCACCGCGCATATGTACGCTCCAACCGATCATAAAGAGATTTGTTGAAGAATCTCGCTTTGGTGCGGATTGTGANGCGCCAAAGATGACTTCCTTGCCCACCTTGGCACAATTTTGTTATCGTGTCGGAGGCACCGCGCATATGTACGCTCCAACCGCTCATAAAGAGATTTGTTGAAGAATCTCGCTTTGGTGCGGATTGTGACTAGACGTTCGTCCACCGGAATGAACGCCAGTACTTGGCAACTGTAGTAGACGTCGCAAGGCCCAAACACTGCTTTCCTTGCCCCATCCAATGCATTTCTTGGATGGCGGTTTATCTTTTCCGTTTTTTCCGGGGTTTTAACGTGGCGGGACTCAAAACCAACGCAGACGAAGTTGTACGCCATCTCAGCACGCTCCCAAACGCGTCTTTTGTCGCTACCCAGAGGATCCGTAGATATAAATATCCGGACGTAGTGAGCTGCGATTTGAACCGTACCACAAGTATACTGCTGGCCACTCCCAGGTGAGTGACAGTCAAAAGCTTTGCCCACTTACGTGGGTGTCTCACAGAACCATCCTCATCTGTTTACTAACAAATAAAAACTACCTTCCTACTCACAGTATTTTTGATATGGTTTATTATCTTCACACATGTTGCTTTTTTCATCCTTGGTACCTCGATTTTTGCGCAGCAAAATCATGTTTTATGGCTTAATAACTGAAACGATAATAATGAATCGGAATTATTTGACTTTTATTTTGCTGATTATCACCCAACGATTCTTGTCTGTAGGCTTTAGCATACCTGCATGCAATTTACGACCTCATTCGAAAACTACTAAACGTTTTAGCAAAAGAGCCATGGCTAGTCAATCCGGAATAGCATTTTATTCGCTAAATGTAAACTGCTTAATAAAGATATTTTTGGACTAGCAACTTATATGTATAATATTTTAATTTAACTCCTGGAAGGTGTTAAAGAACCACTTCAGTCTCTTTGGTTCAATTATTTTTTCTGAATACCGCTAGCAAGCTAGCTGCATTTCTTGCTGTAACATTGCAAAATGCCCGTAACAGCTTTATTTTTGTATAGCCTACCAATGCCTGTTAATTATAACTTACAACATTAAATCGGTATGTTTGTTTGTTTGCTTGTGATGCCACTCACAAACAAATAAAATCGTTTGATCAACAAACAAGCTTCGAAGCGACCAGTTTCTAGTATCGTTTGGCATAGCCGCCTCCAACTCGCTAAGCACGTTTAGCATGGGTGCAAAGTCCAATGCAACCGCTTTTTTTATTGTTGTTATTTCTTTTTATAGACATTCCTAGGCGCCCGCAATTGCAAGCAAAGCGTGTGTATGTATTTGCATAAATAAACGAGCCCTGCAAGCAAGCAAGCGGACGGATAGCCAACCAAAGAGAGGAGCTCATTTCAAGTTTACAATAAAGAAGCGAAGAGGCCGCACCTCCAAGGGAAGCAATAGATTTGTATGCTCTCTGCGGTTATTTGCTCTGTTTTTGTTTTCTTATTTTGATAATTTCTTTGGTTTCGATAGGCCGCCACACCTCCTTTGCAGAGTGATAGCGTTGCAGAAATTTCGTAGGAGTGCTGCTGGTCGGGACAAGCCTTCTTCTGTGGTATTATGTAGCTAGTTCTTTCGTAAAAGGCTAGATCATATCATTGAAGTATCTGCTTTAAAGCTTAAATTACGAACATAATAATCGTGCTGCCCTTTTGTTGCTGTTCGTGAATACCCCTATTGTATGTACTGTGGCGCATCTTGAATGCACAAATTTTTATTTTCAGTTAACTTTAGCCTCTTCAATTGAACGCTTGCATTCATTGTTGTGTACGGTTAGTTACGCGCCTAGCATTTGTAGTATGTGTGTTGGTTTTCGTGTTTGATTTTCTGTTAAGTCGCAGCTGTATACTTTTGCATATATAAAATTTTATTCGTTGAGTTTTATTATCCCATTTCCATATTTTGAATGGCGGCTAGCAAAACCTGTTACTTATTGTTACTTTGAAAGTCTTTTGTAAAATCTTGTCTTCGAGTACCTCCTGTTTTCTAGCAGAGCGATTCAATTCTTGTGTTCACTTTTTACCGCACCAAGAAGGTGATCTAACCTCAGAGCAAAACCTCAACCAGGACGTACGAAAGATTCAGCTGGGCGAAGAAGTAAATATATAAGTTTAAATCCATAGGCTCTTTGATGGATAGCAGATATGGAAAGCAGCTACAGAGTAGTAATTTTTATTTTATTTTTGAATAGACGTAAGAATAATCTTTTCGGTATTATAATTTTTCTTCCTCAGCAACTTGTAATGCCCTTGAAACGCTTCAACCAACACCTCAGTTAATAGGGCTAAAAAAATTAATTTACTAATAAAATAGCGCTCAATTGAATGAGTGATTAAAGCTTATACTTACATATCTAACTATTAATAGTGTTCATGTTAGATTCATAAACTAAACTGACATCGATTTAATAACAGTTATCATAGGTCAACTCGTAAACATATTTTTAATTACACACGTGTGTAAGTACAGTCTAATAATAATTAAAATGAACATAAAAAATACGTGTTAATAACTATGCATATAAATCAATATGCCTGATTAACTATTAATTACTTGCTATTTATGCAATTGTACAATGTCAAAGTGCACTTTTTTGTTGCATTAATAAATAAAGTGCGAGTACATGCACGTGCATGTATGTATGTACATGTATTTTTTCTATTCGATAAGCGGCTTTAGAAATGCATTTTATTAATTTCTTCAAGGCTTGAAGATAAGAACTTAAGGCGTAAAGTCTAGTTTTTTTTATTGGAAATTGAGCTTTCACAGTTGACAGAATAGCTTTTGTAAATCAACGTAAAGCAGTCAGCTGCGGAGAGAACTTAAGGTTTTTGTCGTAAGCAAAATAAAGACGGAGAGCCTTCACCTTGTGGGATGTCTATACCAGCCACATCCAAAGTGTATCGCACGGGAGAAGCTTTTTGAAGCTTTCTACGGATTTTGTCTGCAGGCAGGCAAGCCACTGCCCATCACCGATCTAAACCAGTGACGACCAGAAAGAAATTATGTCATGTGCGCGCCGGTATATTATCCTTTGAAAGCTTTGAAAAGCTTTGCTCATGGACTACGTTTGGTTTGTGACTGAACTAAAACTTTGTTCTCTGATTTATAGCTCTGAGTAACAACAAAATGTACGGGAACAAAAAAAGCATTATTCCTGTAAAAACGTCAACCAGTGATCGCTTGACACTTTTCATGATTTTACCACAAGAAAAAGTTCAGCTAAAATCTTGTAACTTCATTCTCTACACAACACTCCAAAAATCACTCCCATTTACAGGATTTTGGAGTACGGGATTATTTCTTCTGTAACTTCCTGCAACTTCGTGTAAAAACCTGTAAGTTCACGGAGTACTCGGTCAGAGCTTATATATTTGGTATAAGTATGTATGCAATAGTCTGTTAAAATCTGATGTTCTTAGACTAACCGGGCACTTCTGGCTGAGGTAGTAAAAGTCTTTGTAAACTACGAAAGATAGATAGTTCGAAAGACAAAAGTCATAGAATAAAAGCTCTCTCACTCATTCGCTACTCGTGATGAAAAGCTATTTTGAAAGAGACATTCCAACAGTCGCAATGGCCGGTTGAGCAAAGTACGGATGTACCACTCTTAGTTTATTTTATATATATTTTTTTTTTTTTTATTTTTAGAATTTTGTTTTAATTTTAATTACGTTCAACTTTTAGAAACTTAAATTATTTATTTCTTCATTTTTTTAATTTAATTTGTTTTTATTTTAATTTTCTTTTAATTTGTTTATTTTGTTTTTAAAAGAAAAATATGTTTGTTTTCTTTCATTTCGTTTTCAGGATCTTATTTTGTTTTTTTGACTTTTTTTAATTTTTATATTTTTAAAATAGAAAGTATTTTTTTTTTTTATTTTGAAGTACTATTTTCTGCTTTTATAATTTAATTTTTTTCTTTTCGCATTTAATTTAGATTTTATTGTTTTCAAAAGATTTTTTTCATTTCATTTATTTTTTAAAAATATTTTGTTTATTTTATTTTATTTTATTTTATTTTTTTTCATTTCTTTTTAGGTTTTACTGTTTTTTGAAAATAAAAAATATATATTTCTTTAATTTATGCACATAATTTAGTTTAAAAAAAACGTATTTCGGAAGGGCGAACAGCATAGCAGATATTTCAATTAGTTGTTTAGAAATATTTCAGTTAGTTATTTCGAAAAACAGTAAAGTGCTTTCAAGATAGTTACCAGATATGGCATTTGTCTTACGAAAGACAGTTGCCAGAATTGCTCTGTAATATTGAATAAATGAATAAAAAATAAAAAGATCGTGTGTTGTAGTAAAAAGCTTCAGCAAATTAAATCACATTAGGCTGGGTCTCGAAAAAAGCCAAAACCGTTGGTTTTCATAATTTTTCTTTTGTTTGTTTTCTGTTTTGAATAGTATTCTTATTTTTTTACGAGGGTCGCTTTTATATTTTGCGCCTTATATTGAAAACAAAGTAAAATAATTATGAAAATGGGTTATTGTTTTTCAATATATTATCGTTGGAAGTCTATATACTTCTGCATTCGCTTAAACCAATTTCCAAATTTTCTGCACGAGTCCTTTTTTGGGCAGTTGGGAAATTAAGCGGTATCCAACGAGAAAAAATCTTCTTCAAGACCAAATTTTCATTTAATATTGAATGTATGCTGGTCCCATTAATGCCCAAAGATGCCTCTATCTCGCTGAACTGAAAAAGGAACAAATAAAGTTGGTAAATGAAATCGTTATAAGTAAGTTTAAGCTAAAAATACCAAACTTTTCGATAAATATATCGAGCTACAGCTCGTCACACGTAGTGTTTTTTACTCATATGAACACACATCCGGCCTAGTGTACATACATATGTATATAGGAATGCACAGCGGCATTAATAACATGCCTTGTACGTATGCCATTTTCTTGATAGACAGTTGTAATCAGCAAAGTCAAATGACGTCAATGACGCAATCACTCAATAAGGCAGCATCTACAATAGATAGGGAAAAACAGGAGCTATCGAAGAGGTCACAAATGTGGTCAGACGTCAGTTAGACTGGAAAAATGTTGTATAACCGTTGTAAAAAAAAAACACTCCGAACACCAAACCTTGCACTATACATATTCCATAAATTGTTTGAATTGCGATTAATTTTACGATGATGGAGATGAATTCAACCTTGCACAGCAGTCGCTCTCTGGTCGTCTTAGCCTAGTTTGAGCCTCAAAGATTACACTCAAACCCTCCGGTAGTCGATTGCGGTGTCCAGAGGAGAATTCTAAGCCAATATGATAACGCAAAACGACTTCACTTTCCCCTGAAGTCAGCTAAGTACTATAACGAAAAAAGTTTTTCCTTTCCTTTCGGGTTAGGGGACTAGATCTCTTCCGGTTCCTACGATACTAAAATGTAAACTCGCGCCAAAAATATCACAGACTAACCAACAGGAAATGAAAATCATTTAAAAAACAAATCATATTAAAAAGCTTTTTATGAATATCAAGTAAAAGAAATACTAACAAGATAATTGTGAAATTGTTTACAATTAAATTTTTAAGTTTTTTACAGATGTTATAAGGCGGATATAAAAGAGAATCATAACAAAATATTTCGGTTTCATAAACGTCAATGGTTTTTTGCCACTGCGCTTGCAACAGCAACAGACATACAGATGCAATCACCCAAAGCCAGAACAAAAATAACAACCAAAGAGGATCTACTTGAACTTTGTACCAGGCAGCTGTTATTAAAAAATATACAAAATTTTACGAAAACAATTTTGTTAATGAATTTGATAAAAAATTAAAGGCAACGAACCGGTTTATGAAAATAAGATTAAAAAATGTAAACAAAAAATCTGTCGCTGAATGTATTAACGAACTCGAAAACACAAAATTATTCATACGAAAACAAACAATGTCAACAACAACAACAACTGCTATCTACCTACTTATGAACGTATTTATATAAATACATACATACATACCTGTATAAAAAATTTTGCAGGCAAGTGTGCAGAGTCACTGGCGCAAGTGCAACAATAGCAAAAGCAAAATAACAAAATAACGTAGCCACTCGCTCGCTACAAAAGGCCTACACAGGCAGCGACGACAAGAGTTGAATATAGCCAAGCGACCAGCGATCGAACAGCCAGTTACATATTTAGTTGCGCCGCGACACCCAAAGACTGCAGACGTGATTGTGCATATAACGAGTAAATAAAAATAAAATTAGTGATATTTAAAAAAAAAGAATCTAACAGAGGGACAGAAAAGTGTAATCAAAAGATCCTCGCTGGCAAATAGGGTTTTCAAATAAAATTTTGTTGCATGCAAAAATAGTGACGTGATCCCGAAGTACCAAAAAAAAAACACATTTTTTATAAAGATTTTCCCCCTTCCTTACACTTCACTTTCGCTTCAAGTGAAAAATGCTTCGCCACTTGGTGCGCTCTGTGCTTTTTGCGCCACCTGTGCAATCATCCGTGGCTGCCGTCGCATCAGGCGCCCGGCATCTGAACACTGCGGCCACTGCACAGCCCACACAATCTGGCCTCAATCATCCAGACAAATTTCTCACCTACAGCGAAGAGGAAGGCTACATCAAACAATCGCATTTTGACCCAGTCGAGGTGCTCAACATCACAGTGGACAAATATGTGTGGCGAGATTTAAAGAATTATGAAAATAACATTGCAGCGGTGAGTGCAAAAAAATGTATTAATAAATAAACCATACTTTTTAACATCTAATCTAAAACCAAATCATTTCATTATCGCATTCTGAAATCTAACAAAATTTTTTTTTTTTTTTTTGTTATTGAAAATCTCATACATAAACTTTCACATTATAGCAATAAGCTTTCAGCCCACTCTACCGATAGGGATTTTAATGAATTAAATATGAATTAAAAAATTATTTAAAAAAATTTTTTTTTTATTTGTTAGTTAAAACAAAAAAATTCAGTGTTTTTCTGTTGTAAGTTTATTTTCGTGCTACAGAGTTTTTATGTTTCCTTGTATGTATGTATGTATGTAGCAAACCAAATTTAATGTAAAGGAATTTTTGAGCGTTCGTACTTCATTGGCAAGATTTCAATGCGAAATGATGGACTTTAGAGAGAAGCCGATGTTAACTGAAAATGCTTGTTCTTGTGCAGTCTTGGTCTGCGAAAGATTTTACATATTTTCTCATCATTTGGAACATTTATGCTTTTCTACTAAGTTTTCTATAACAATTTTATGAACGCGTAGAATGCAAAAGCTCTTTCAGGGCATATCTGAAATACGGTGTTTTTTGAATGTTTAGACTTACACTGACTTGTAACAGAGAACGTTTATAAATTATTTATAAACGTTCTCTGCTTGTAATGCAACCGAAAGCTCTCAAAATAGTTGTAGAAAATATGCAAAAATGTTCAAAGCTTTTACATTGCCGCGCAAAGCTTTCATTATGAGGTTATAAAAAGGAAACAAACCTATTGTAGACAAATTTAAGAAACTTCTAAATCTTTTTTATTGCGTTTAGAAGCTTTCATTGTGACGATAAGCTATTTCAGATTTTATAAAATAATTGGCTAGAAATTTTGTGAATTTTTTATGAAAAAGGAATCCTTTTCGCTAAATTATTCTCTAACGTGAGCTTTTTTGAAGAAAGGAAAACCTGTTTGACTTTTCATATAACATGTAAAAAGCTTACCAATACCAATAAACGGAACAGGAGGTAACTGAAGATAGCATAAAGCTAGAACCGATTTGTCTTAAGGAAATTCGCTCTAAAATAAACCAATGAATAGAGTCTAGTTAAAGGGTCAAAAATACGCTAAAAAACTACCTCCTTTAAAAACCTCAAAGTTTATCGAAAAACAGTTCAAAAAACTTAGTGCTCTCTATTTGATTACAAAATTTATGTATTTATGCTTTCATGCGTACCGTACTTTCGCAATTCTTTATTTATGTCCTCGTGCATTAGTTGTTGTAAGTAAATTAGGGTAGCTTTATTACATAATAAATAATAAAGCTTAATCTTTCTATGGCAACAAAAGTTAGAACAAACGAAAAACAATATTTACGTAAAAGTAAAAACTGATTAACCCAACGCAATAAAAAAAACATCTACTTTGTAGCCACAATTAGTGCCTTTGTTTGATTTGGTGTTTGTTTAAATTGTTAGAAAATTGTCTGATAAGTGTGCGAACTTTAAGCGAAAGACTTGACGCAGGATTTGAAGTATTTTAGCTGATAAGATAAGATTTTAAATTTCGAGAAAAAAATTAAGAAAAACAGTAAAAACAAACTGTATATATACACAGGTGCATGTATTTCTGGAAGCACACAATACTATCTTGACGCACCTATCGGCGCCTGGGTAAAAGATTGTCGTATGTTATACACGTACGTATGACGCTTACGACAATCTTTTACCCAGGCGACGCTATGTAAATGCAAAAATATTGCATGCTATAATAAAATTGTAGCATGCGTGAAAAACTTACAATTTCAGGCACAAGTCTGATTTCCTTCTTACATACATATGGGCAAATCCTAGGTTACGGACGCGACATTCCTACTACTTTAGAGTTAAATAAATCATACGAAAACTGAAGTCACTTGTAAAAAAAATTGCCGTTATGTAGCTTTTTTATCGTCTTTTGGTTGACAAAAAAATTATATGCGCTTGCAACACTGACGTCGCGAAAATCGATGAAAAGGAGGGCATAACGGACGCGACAAAAACAGAAGTTATTTCAGAGTACATGTAAAATTAAGCAGAACACAGCGAATTCTGTAAGGTTTTCTTTTATTAAACATTCTTTATATAAAGTCAAATTATGGACCGTTACCACCAATTCATTTTTAATCAGAAGCAATTCGTTGTTGATTTAATTTTGAATTAAAATCTAGTAACGGACGTGACATATCGGACGTGACAGATTTTTGTCCCATACAATATTTTTACTAGTAACACATACTAAGTTTAATTTTTTATTTAATTTTTTCAGTTATTCTCTCCACCGTTTCGCGTTTCCAACACCTTTTTTCGCCATCTGATTACGAAATTTAAAGTTATGAAGCCGTTTGAATTCATTTACTTGCATTTTCGGTTTACCTTTTTTGGGAAATGCCCATATGTAGCTTGTTGCTCGCCCTCACAACCCTTTAGAAACGTGCTGGCACTCAATCAAAAGTTTTCGTTTTATTACCTTGACTTCTCGCGTGCCTCTCGTACTATGGATATCGTCAAGAAATAGCCTAACAAAGCAAATCAACAAGAATAGTTATTAATTGTGCCAATAATATTTAAATTGCTGTAGTTGTATTCATATGCATTAGGCTGGGTCGATTTTGTATGGGGGAAAATAAAAGTCATTTGACCGCATTGTAATAGTAATATTATGATGTCTTAGGTCTCAGCCAATTGTTATTGGCCACGAAAAATTAATTTAAAACTTATCTTTAGCCCGCGCAATTGAATCAAAGTGTATGAATTTTGAAAATGAAACTTTGGCTTGTAATATCTATGGAATGCGTTATTGTTATAAACATGACGATATATCAAATTAAGGGCTATTAAATTTAGAACCTCACGTTCATTTATCATTTTTCAATAAGTCTACACGTTTTTAAGATATTAAAATAAAAAATAAGAAAGCTATGATTTCCCCTTATGAATTTTCAATTCTTCATTACTTCAGCAACCAAGTGAAAAATACAAAAAAGTGAGACGAGATTTATTTCAAACCTTTTAATGTTTATATAATATTAAAATGACCATGTACTTGGTCACGCCGATTTGGTCAGTTTTCAAGATCGTGGTGAATGAATGTATTGTCAAAGATTAGGAATCGTTCGACAAGTTAATAGTAGTTTCAAATATATAAGCATTTACATACATTACAATTAGGGTGAGAAACGCCCATTTTAAGTCCATTTTTGCAGTCTTGAAAACTGGTGCGGAATGGTTTCATTAGTCGCCGCAGAAGCACATTTTTCGCGGTTTCTAAATTTGCCGTTATATGAAATTAGGGGACATGCAATAAGTGTTTAGATATACATAAATATTTTAGTTAATTCCATTATGTGAAAAAGTGTCTGTAAGTAAATGCAATAGTCTTTAACATATCCTGGGAAATCCTTTTGCGGACTCTCCAATTGGACGATATTGCTTTGCATTCAGCTTGAACGAAAAAAGTCACTCGCTTGCACAGTTTTCTGTAATCCAGTTCTTTTATTTAAAGGTTATTTATACAATTGAAGAGAAATTTTTTTAGAAAAAAAAATGGAAATCCACTTAAGTTTTTCGATATAACTTTGGTAAATGTTACTCGATCGATTTTTGATAATAATATGACTAAAATAGTTCGGATTATAAACAAATTATTTAAAATAAAAAAAAATCTTGAACAAAATTTTTTATCATTTTCTTATATTTGCAATTTTTATATTGTATGCATAAACATAAGTAAACCAATTAGTGTGTCTAGAAGTTGTGCCTGTTCAGTGTTTCCATACTAATTTGCATAAACAAAATTTTTCCGCGATGATGGAAAATAATGGCTATTCTATTAGAGCTACCGATATTGTTCCTAAATTTGCAAAAATTCGCAAACTATAGCTAATATTAAAAAAGGATAAGAATATTTTGAACTAGCATCTAAATGCACGCCAGCAATATTAATGTTGTTCTTTACATCTTTTGACTATAGGCCAGTGCAATTATCAAGAGAACAATTAAAATTTTCTTGAAAATAGATGAGTTTGAGATTAACGATAAGATAAAGGGCTGCGCGAAATGATACTTGCCTTTATCTTTTGCGTTAAAGGATTCATTGTCTAATAATATGCACCAAAATTTTTGGCTAAACCCAGAATTTTTAACAAGAATTGGTCTTATTCGACTAGTGTGCTGGGGGTCACTTGGCGGTCGATGCGCGGGCTCTTACAATTAAAATGAAAGACTAATATTTCGCAGGCTTGTTGTTGACTTCATGATACAATATATTTTCACTATTACCAAGGGATTTGAGAAAAATTAGATTTTCGACCCGCCCTAATATGCATATTCACATTTGTGTACTTACATATGTATGTATGTGAGTTTGTATATTTATTTAACGAGATCTATGATACAAGTGAAAAGTTGCACCAGCTTTTCAATTAAGATACTAAAAGCAATATAGTGTGGGTGCATAGATACATATGTACATGATATATATAGTATGTATGTATATAAGTAAGTAAATGTGTATTGTTCGCCAAATGAAAGAATATCTTTTAAACCCTGCAGGAAAATTCACTTGTACTCTGCCAAATCGGGATTAGGGCTATTAGATCTATGGATAAATGTGAGCAATGTAGAGCTCATCGTCATAGGGATAGCTTAGTTAGCAGTCTTTTCTTCAATGCGATTTATGCAGTATCGTCTGTGTGGCATACGGTATACCTAATCTATGGGTGTTTAAAGATCAGCGATCGATTAGATCAAGCAGAGGCCTCAAATTAATCATCGGCTGACATTTTCAGTCAAAAAATTATTTTGCTTAAAAATCGGGGACTAGTGTTGATATAATCGAAGGATCTTCCAGAAAATTCAACAAAGCTAACAAAAGTTTAATTTTCTGTCGACCAGCATCGCCATAAGCGTGGTCTGAGGTTTGAGCAGATTAATTTTCCTTTATAAGCTTACTTTTAAGAAATGGTAT